GCAGGCCAGGGTGCATTCCAAACTTGCAGCAAACTTGGCAGTGTCATTCACCTGGCACTGACTTCAGAGGTATGAAAGATACAAGAGTGAAGGGTTCATTAGTTCTTCCTCTGTGGTTTCATAGAGCAGCCGAGGTCAGGCAATGTGCAGCAGGAGTACCCCTGAATAGAAAAGGCCCTAATAGGCCATTGTGTGAAGCTATGAAGGTGAAGCCTGGGTGGCAGTGGAGACCCCAAGAAGACATTTGTGATGCCAGAGTCGTGAGACATCTGCAAAGGAGAGCTGCATACAGGGAGTAGTACCAGCCCAAGAGAGAGATGTATGTTTCACACAGAAAAGTTGGAGTTGCTGAGCCATCTAAGCCCTTTGTAAGTAAAGTCCCAGAAGTCAGAAGTGGAGCTACTGGATTTGGTGTTTGCCTTGCTGGTTTTCGTCTTGTTTTGGTCCCTTATTTCCTCACTATGCCTCTATTCCTCCCTTTTGGAGCGGGAGTGTGTGTTCAGTTCCACTGTATGTTGGGAGTTTGTAATTTGTCTTTTGATTACAGTCAAGAGATTTCCCCGAGTTTCAGATAAAACTTTGGACTGTGAACTTTTGAATAGTATTGAGACTGGTAAAGACTATGAGAACTTTTAAGATTGGACTAAATGCATTTTGCATTTTATATGGTCATGAGCCTATGGGGGTCAGGGAGTGGAATGTGGTAGTTTGAATGGGAATGTCCCCCATAGGCTCCAAGTATTTGAGCATTTTTGTCCCCAGTTGGTGCTGCTGTTTTGGGAGGTCTTAGAAGGTGTGGCCATGCTGGAGGAAGCACATCACTGCGGGCAGGCTTACAGAGTTCTTAAGCTTTGCCAGATCTCCAGTTGGCCTCTGCTTCTTGTGTCTGCTTGAAGGTGTGAGAGGTCAGCTTCTGCTCCTACTCCAGCCACCTCTGCCACCATGCCTCCCTAACATGATGAACTCTTGCCCCTTTAGATCCGTAAGCTAAATAAATTCTTCCTTTTATAAGCTCCCTTGGTCATGGTGTTTCTATCACAGCAACAGAAAAGGAACTAATACACTGATTAACACAGGTGGAAACTAGAAACAGCATCACAACCATTTCTAGGAAAAATAAACTCCTAAATAAGAAGCAAAATCCTAATTAAACTAAATCACATTCTTTAAGATTTATTCATTTTTATTTTATGAGTATGCATGTTTGCCTGATGTATGTATGTGTACCACATGTGTGCCAGAGGCCAGAAGAAGGTATTGGACCCCTGGAACTGGAATTATGGATGGTTGTGAGTCACCATGTGAGTGCTGAAAGCTGAATCCAGGTCCTCTGCAAGAGCAATACTCTTAACCACTGAGTCATCCCTCCAGCCCCTAAATCATATTTTTATTTCGTCCATTAAAACTTCCCTTTCTTTTCATGGAACATGGTCTTGCTGCTATACTAGTGTTCTCTCAGCCCAGCGATCCTTAGATAGATAGTAACCCCAAAGGTAAGAGCTTGGAGCATGGCATGAAATAGACCAAGGCCTTAAAACCCAGCTCTGCCACTTTCCAACTGGGCAAACCTGGACAAATTCTTCATTCACAATACACAGTTTATCTTAAGATAACAAATTGACTAATACTGACCTCAGATGACTGATGCCAGTAACTGAACAGTAACACACAAAGCTCTAAGCATAGCACACACTGTATTATAAACTCTCAACAGCTGCCTGTTGCTTATGGCAGCCGTAATAACAGCAGCAGCAAAGAAAGATGTTTACACTGTTTCCACAAACTTTGTTTTATCTAGGTTCACTTTTGTTCAACTCTTTCTTTTTGTGGTTTTTAAAGATGTATTGAAGAGTCAGAACAAAAACTACATTGACTCCATTTTGATTAGCTTCCCCATTTTGTGAGCTGACTAGAACATTTGCAAGGGCTATGGGTTAGGCAAGCCCGGGCATGTTAGGCAAGCTCAAATGTGTTAAGACCTAATAAGGAATAAACAGGATCCTCTGGCTCCAAAGATTACAGCCAGCACATTCTAATGCCCTGAAGACAGCCCCTACCAATAAGAATTTCCCCTGTACTCAGGATAGGGGGCTGTCCAATCATTTTAAAAGATGCTTGGCGTGCACGGGTTTCTGTGGAATTCCCCAATAAAAGCCCTGGCCTGCTATTGTTTGGGGCCAGGCTCCATTCATTGGCTCCTGGAGTCTGTGCCCGACTGGTCGTTCAAGAATTGGAATGCTTTTCAATAAAATCTTCTAAATTTCAAATTTTGGTGGGTGGCCTCCAATCATTCCCAAACCTCGGACCCAACAGTATTTATTTTTATTTTATGTGTATGTGTGTGTGCCTGCATGTATATATGTGTACCACATGCATGCAGTGCCCAAGGAGTCAAGAAGAGGTGGTTGGATCCCATGGAACTAGAGCTACAAATGGTTTTGAACCACCATGTGGGAACATGAGTCTGTGAACCTGGGTCCTCTGCAAGAGTAGTGAGTACTCTTAACCTGAGCCGTCTCTTTAGCTCCTTGTTTGTTTTTTTTAACCCAGGCTGACCTCAAACTTAAGATGACCTTGAACTCCTGATCCTCCTACCTCTACCTCCCAAGTGCTAGGAATAGCATTCTCCACCACCCCTGGCTAGCTCCACTTTCATGACAAACATAAAAACTCTACAGATAAGGTTAGTAATTTCCCCATATCCTCTCAGAGGAGCAGACCACACTTTCCATTCCCTTCAGCTGTGACACTTCTGGTCCAAAGAATTAAGGAGTCAATGTGTCTTCTTCAGTCTCTTTCCCTGGGATAGGAACTTTCAGTGCCAGGCATCTAAATGCAGAAAGCCTGGATCCTGTACCACTACATGGAGAAGACCTACCCCTAGAGTCACCTGACTTCCTTCATACTTTAGGTAAATAAGAAATATATATCTGATGTGCTAAGCCACTGAGATGTGAGATGTTCTGTTACTCCAGCAGAACCCACCCTATCCTGAGCAATAGATATGCATATACCTCTAAAAGGGATCCTGAGAAAATCCTAAGAGAGAAGAAAAGGTGCTTCCATTTTTTAAAACTTACTTTTTGTCCATCTTTTATTCTTTACCTTGTTGCAGCACAAATCAACAAGATCTTTAAGATGCTTTTACTAAAAACAAAATTTTGTCATTAAAATTTAAATCAACATATTTATTTACTTGATCTCATTCATATATTTTCACAATGTCATAGAAGTCACCTAATACGTTGGCACTGCAGGATATTGTGTAATTTATAAACAAATACACACGTATAAACAGGAATCCATGCTCAAAAATAAGTTCAAGTGCATCATAGGATGAAAGCCGTCTGGGAGCTGTTTGGAGACGACCCTTCAGACTTTTGTCACCTCTTTCATCACTGCGAAACTGCTTTAACCACTTTCAAAAAACTCTACAAAGGAGGGAAACAATGCAGAGCAGAAGGGACATACACATTAGAGAAACAGGCTCACAGGGAGTTCATGAACCAGCAAAGCCAGGGCACGGCAGAAATGCTCACAGAGAGCATTAATTTGATTTAGGAGCGAAGAACAAAGCTTTCTGTTCCAAATGAAAAAAATCACATTTTCCACACGTGAAAACCAGTGCTGGCTCTTGTCAGATAATCAAAGAGGTAAAGTGATTGCTTTCTACACACAGAAAGCGAACAAAGGCAGATTTTTGTACAAGTCAAAAATGTTTCCACAGATGCTTACCTTCAAAGTACTGATAACTAAAGAGTCAGACAGGAGGGACAGCAGACAAGCCGAAGAGAGGCAGAGTGTGTCATTAGGCCAACAGCAAAGACTTGCTGTCAAAGAGTCATTAGTTCAGCCAGGTCAGAATTATCTCAGGTTTCTACAGAAGTGAAATGCTATCTGAGAATTCTTGAGCCAAATGGCGTAGCACCCTCTGCTCCCCCATCTCTTGGCTCTTATCTCCAGGAAAGGGCTGAGATTTAAACACTGGTATATCTGATTCCAAACCACTTATGAAGATAGTAGTGTATAACATAGGATTTGAAAATGGAGACTGACTATGCTGAAAGGCAAACCAAGAAACAAGTGCTGAGGAGACTGACAGTGGGAAGGAAAGGCAAGAGCAAAGGACTGGGCGTGGGAAACCTTTGATATGTGCCGGGAGACCAAGGAAGGAGCAGCAGGTAGCTCAGATGTGGCAGGCAGGGCTGGTTCAAGAAGAGACCAGCCCAGGCCTTCTAGAAGGTGCTGTGGGCTCAGTCAAGGAGGGACACTTTCTTCAGGAGACAGTGAGTGACGCTGAGGGCCTTAAGGAAGAAAATGACCTAACTTCAGGCAGACTCTAGGAAACTAATCTCACTAATCTTGCTACAACATGGAAGACAGAGCAGAGTGTAAGAAGGTGCCTTGTACATAGTTAGGTAATTAATGTTGAATGGATACAGACAGAAGACCAAGTTAAAATGAACCAGGTTTCTCTTACTGGGTACCAAATCCATTCTACTTGATCCTGTTTCCTATTGATTAGTTTGCTTAGATAACAAACTCCACTCATTCTACAAAACAATACTGGTGCTACCACAGCAAGAACAATAGCAAGCAACAAGAGAAATCCGCCCATAGAGGGTGGCCTTTTAATGTGAAGTGTTTACTCTTGCAGAGATTAGCATTCTCCTCTTCTATTCTGAGGGAGGAACGTCTGAGCTGCTGGTGCAACTGCTGAAAAAGAGAACAAGATTAACCACGTGCAAAAGTTGGCAATGAGGAGAGATCCTCCCCCACTTCCGCAACTATGTGAAAGGTCACTGGAATAAGGAGATCATAAGCTATGACATCAATTTCCTGTGCTTTCTTGAGGCATCCAAGTGGCATACATATTAAGCTATAACCTTCTTGCTTTGCTGGTGCCAAACTTCTTGGGGTACAGGTCCTGGAGCCATGTGCAAAGCACCAACTACTCTGTGGGAAAGAGAACGAGAACACCGTGGCAGGTCAGAACCTACCTGGTTTTCTTCATGAGAAACCCTCATCTGCTCCTTGAGGACAGACATCCGAGCTGCCTCTTCTTTCCTCAAGACCCTCTCCTTCTTCAGCTCGGGACTCCAGAAAGTCTTGATGCTGTTCATGGAGGACCCCAGTTTGCTGTCCTTAATGTCGAGTTCTTTCCGTAGAAGATCATTCTCTCGTTGCAGTTCCTTGAGCTGGGCCTGAAGATCTAACATTGTGCTGTCCCTTACCTGCCTCAACATGGAGGGCACCTGGTGATGGTGGTGATGGGATGAGCCACTCAGCCCATGTTGATCCGTGTATGAAAGGACATCTGTGTGGGAAAGTCCTGCCGAAGCAATATTGGGACTGCTCCCCATGGCTGTGACTCGGCCTCCATACACAGCTCGATTTGTGGCCCTGCCCAAAGTCATGGTGCCCTTTGGGTAAGTTGTTGATGCCACCCCCTCATGATCACTCAAGTACATGGGTCCAGACGTAGCATAGGCTGCATTAAGGGACTGGATATTCTCCATAGACAGAGTCTTGCCTGTTCCTCCCCCTCCCCCACTACTTGTTCTTCGGTGACCCAAACGAGGCGATCTTGGCAAACGAGGGGATCTGGAAGGGCTACCTTCCAGATTGCTGATTGTTCTTGCACTTCCATACATCTTTCTTCTGTGAGGCGGTACCACTGAAAGAAGAAATGCTACTCAGTCAGGGTTTGAGCAGTATTTCTGCCGCTGGCCGGAAATGTCACTGCATTCTTAGCACAGTCTGCACCAGGAAACAGCTTCAATCAGAGATCTGCAAAGTGGGGAAAAAAAGGATAATTAAAACCAATCTTCTTGAGAACTCAACTGTAACTGCATCATATCTTAAAATATATGCATAGTGGTGGTAGAGTGCTTGCCTAGCACTCACAAGGTCCTAGGTTCAATCCCGAGCACTGCAAACAAGCACAGAGCACAGATAGATTAGACAGATAGATGATGATAGATAGATAGATGATAGATATAGATAGATAGATAGATAGATAGATAGATAGATAGATAGATGATAGATAGATAGATGATAGATAGGTAGATAGATAGATAGATAGATAGATAATAGATAGATAATATATAAAGTGGCATCCAAAAAATGATACCAAAACATTTGTTTTTTACAATTTTTCATTTATTTATCTTTATTTTATGTATATAAGTATTTTTCGTGCATCTATGGTAAATGCCCCCATATCATGTAATGGCCACAGAGGCCAGAAGAGGGCATCAGATCCCCTGGAACCGGAGCTATAAACAGTTGTTAGCCACCATGTGGGTGTTGGGAACCAAACCCAGGTACTCTACAAGAGCAGCCAGTGCTCTTAACCACTGAGTCATCTCTCCAGCTCTCAAAACATTTCTTACTACATGTAAACTTTTAAAGTACATTTTCCCACCCTGACCCCCAAAAAAGTCAAAGTTCTCAAAGCCAAAAGGAAATTCTTTTTTCCTTAGGAAAATGAAGGTCTCCCTCTTGATTTGTGCTGTTAGGTTTCAATTTCCAAACACTTCATGCAATTCCTCCATTGTGGATGCCTAAGTAATAAACTATTCCATCCTTGAGGGCATGGCCCTCATACACACATAGCTCGATACCCAAAAATCACATTGCACTTTCTCCTCCTGTACCCATTACATCTATCGGTACCCGCCATAGACTACCAGGCTGAGAACTCTTCTCAACACAACCCTCTGGATGCTTCCTGCCATTCATCTGGCATTGACACATGAGTTGGACCCCCCTGGCCATCTCAGAGCTATAAGCAATACAGGATCCAGCCAGCAAGACACCTGTACATATAGCCAGACTCTCAAGGCTCTCACCAAAAGAAACAACAACCTTCCTGTCTCTTTCCCCTTCACACACATCTTCCAGGCTGGTCATTTGAGAGTCTTTTCAGTGTTAAGTTGACCTTAATCTTCCTATTAACCTCTTCCCAGCAATACAGGAGAATAGTGCAGCAGGTTAGAGATCCTGGTCCCCTAACCCCTAAAGAAAAGTAAGAGCGGCTCTCTGTCATAGAGATTCAAGTACAACACATCTCTTACGAAGCTGAGGCCACAGGATTACAATTACGTTTCAGTGCTGGGACTCAAACAGCCTTAATGGAGTGCATCATGGCCTCTTGCTATTTTTCTTTAGAAATCTTTAGTGTGTTTTGTTTTCCTTCAGCTTTGTGATGATAAGAGAACAGATTCTGAAGAAAAACAAACTGAGGCCAAAACCTCCAGTGTAGCACAGACCTTGGTGATTTCTTAAAAAAAAAACTGTCATGAACTTCTACTCTTCAATAGATAAAATGAAAATAAATAAAGTCTAAATGCAACATAACCATAGTGTTATAAACATGTAAGATGGTGTTTATAAAATGCCTAGTTGTTGGGGCTGGAGAGATGGCTCAATGGTTAAGAGCACTGGCTGCTCACGCAGAAGACCTGGGTTCGATTCCCAGCACCCACATGGCAGCTAACAATCATCCATAACTCCAGTTCCAGGGGACCCAATGCCCTTTTCTGACCTCCGTGGGCATCGCATGACATGGGTACACTTACATACATGTAAACACTCATACACATAAAAATATATATAATAAAATATGGGCTGGAGAGATGCAGAGCAGCACTGGCTGCTCATGCAGAAGACCCAAATTCAACTCCTAGCACCTACATGGCAGCTAACAACCGTCCATAACTCTAGTTCCAGTTCCTCTTCTGACCTCCACAGGCATTGCATTACACAGGTGCACTTACATATATGCAGGCAATACTCATGTACAAAAAATAAAAATAATAAAATATTTTAAATGCCTTGTCGCTACCTACCATGGTCAATAAATAGTTTTTTTTTAAACAAGTAAGTAAATAAATAAATAGATTTTGTTTGTACTATCTCAACAAGATTAAAAACATAGCAACGACTACTATCCTCAGGCCTCTTGGGGTAAGTCTACAGCGCAGCTCTCCGCGCCGGGACTCCCTAAGCCTCATTCACCCTTCCACACCACCCCCCACCCCCCTGCCTCCCCG